AATTCATAGTCACAATTTTTTTTTACAAGCATTCAAAGTTTGAATTTTGACAACATAATATGTAAAAATCACGAAAATTCGCAAATTATTTCAAACTAGAAATTCATAAAAAATTTTCTTTTTAAATCTAAGATTTGAAAATTTTTAATAATCTATAATATATCCTAGTCAGATAAACCAAACCGTCTTCGCTCAGAATCGTTTTTCGTATACAATGATATAATATCTTTGGATTCAAATTTAATTCCATCGATTACAGTAACTTATTGTAACCTACTGTACAGCAGAGCGACATCCRCGACTTACCCGCTTTTTTWAATTTAAATTGCGCCTAATATATGGTTACATTAAAATACACACATGCATGGTGGTTTATTGTAGTAATATAATATACTCTGGTTAATAGTTAACATTGCACATTGTACAAATTACAACCCAGTACGCACTTTTACATAGGACGGTAATCATTTATATTTAGTAACGGAAATAATTAATATCTGGGTTGAAAAAACGTCAGCTTATGCAGTGGTGGAGAAAGATTTAAAACCTACCCTTACCCTTTATTTTATTTTTTGTTATAAATGTATTTATTCAATTGCCCATTTTTAACGTAAATTCCGAYACACTGAACAAATGCCGGCTTACGCATAGACTTTTATGCGTGCATGCGTTTTACAACGCCTAACTACACAATCGATTATGCAGTAGGTAACATTATAACATTATAATCATGGCTAGAAAAAATAAAAATATCAAATAGGTACCTTTTTTAATTTTAAACTTTGTTTAAAAAAAAATAGCTATAGGTATCTTATGGTTTATAATATTAATTAGCGTTACACTTGTAAGATAAAATAGTATATTTACCTATCAAATTTACTTTTAGGTAAGTATGTTCCAAAATAATATTATATTGTTCAACTTACCAAGCAATTCATTTTTACTCAGTAATAATTATCATTACGTACATCATAAATAAAATCACAATAGATAAAAAATATATTGTTCGCGCTCGAATCTTCAAATAGTCATCTTATATAAAAAAAAAACCTACTATAAAGACTTTTTATGCTGATGTCGACCTAAGTATCGACGTGTATCACCTATCGACTATAGATCCCCGTCCTTCTAGATCCTTTGGCAGTGGCGCACTAACGATGGCTGGGGGTGTTTGGGAAAAACACTCCCCCCCAACCTGGTATTTTTAGAATGCATATTTTATTACGAGAAAACTAAAATTTAGGGCGACATGTCAATTAAAAATAATAACATGAATAAAAATTTTGGGGGGCGGAGTGGAAGTAATGCGCAAGCGGTTCCTGCTCCGGTCCTCGATTCATACGGAAAAAAAAAAAATAAAAAAAATAAAAATTATAATACCTAGTCTATTAAAATGTACGATACATTTTGTTATGTTCAGGTGTCAGGTCATCAAATATGTAAAAATTTAAAAATTACACCCCACCCTGAAATTCAGGTCTAAACATGCCACTGCTGTAGACATACTTATTACACTCCTTCTCTATGCAATAGCAGATATGTTACTAGATCTTCGAAGATTTTACGACGATTCAATAACCTGAAAAACCAATATTAAAGTTATTAGATTTTCAAAATCATATTACGAATTCAAAAAATCGAAAGAAAAAAAGTTGCTCGAACAAGTGGAACATTTTAAATAGATATCTAGGCAGTTTAATCAACCAAGATGAAAGATGTGTCATGGAATAAGATCCAGAATCGCACAGACGAAGTCAGCATTTATGAATAAGAAAAATTTGTTATGCTCCAATAGCATGACGCATGAGTATTAGAATGAGGAAACGCTTCATTAAAGTGTATGGAGTGTGGCACTATATGGCTGCGAAACATGGGTTCTGAATAAGGCAGAACAACGAACACTCGAAAGCTTTGAAATGTGGTGTTGGAGAATGATGCTGAGAGTGAGTTGGATAGAACACCGTACCAACGAAAGCATACTCAGTGAAATTGATGAAGGAAGAGAGATTCTCAAAACCATCAGAGCAAGACGATGGAACATGATTGGTTACATATTGAGGCACGAAAATGAGCTAATCTACAGAATAATAGAAGGCAAAATGGAAGGCAAAAGGGGCCAAGGACGTCCAAGAACTTCATTTGTCATTTGTCAAAAAAAATGATTTCCGATGCTAGACTATCAAGCTACGCCGAACTGAAGAGGTTAGCTGTGAACAGGGGAGATTGGAGAGCGCATGTCCAACTGCAAAACCAACCTTAAGGGTTGAATACCAAGATCATTATTATTATTATTGACTATTTTTAAAAGAAACTTAAATGTATATAAGAATTTYAGAAATTTTATTTTTTATTGTATTTTGACTAATATAACTAATACTATAAATCATAACAGCTAAAGACAGTTTAATTTATATTGTTATTATATATGATTGACTATTTTTAAACGCAACTTAAATGTATATTAAATTATTTTTTTGATTTTTACTTTAGACCCAGTAGAGTTTACAATCACCCAGTTTGAAAACGGGATAGTAAAATTACACTTACTAGATAGTAGATACCTACAAAGAAATGGTCAAATTGCACTTGGATTGAAAAGGTATTGGTTGAACTGCACTTGGGTAAAAATCAGAGTGGTTCAAAAAGTGTTATCATAATTAATATATTTGTGTTTATTGATGTTATAACTTATACAATAAATTACAAATCAACACTTACATTTTAATGCAAAACACTGACAGCACAAGGCAATCAACAACAGTTCTAGAAAAAAAAAATAATATAGAAAAATATTATTGACTTATATACTCAAAAATGTATTACCAGGCTAGAATTTTTTAATACAGTTTGTCATTACTATAAAACATGATCGATTAGGATCACCTATTACAAAATCGAAAGAGAATATTTTTGAGGAAATGACATATCGGTTTGTCTAAATATAATTTAAATAGTTTTTTTTTTTATCTTGATAGTCTTATAGGTACAAAGCCAAATAATAATAAAATATAAAACTGATATATATATATAGATCAACAAGTTGGCTTCATAATAAATTCAAATGTTTTCAGATTTATTATGCTTAATTCATTAATTGGTACTATGGAAAAGATAGGTGTAATAAAAAAAAAAACTGTTAGTACTGAATCTCTTAAAGTAAAAATCTGTGCAAATAAATTAGTGCATAATAGCTTTTCAACCTTACAACATTTGATACTAAATAACCTATTTCAAAACTCTATTAACAGTATTCAATTTGGTGCAAGCAACACTTCCACAACTGCTGACAAACTCTTATCCTAATTTCATCTGAAAAACCATTTGATGAGCAATATTTAGGTAATTCGGGAGAYAGTGAGTTACATTGTAGTATATATAGATTATAATTGTTTCAATATATTTTTATTTATGAGTAATTTGTTTAGTTAAGACTTTATATTTAAATCAKTTTTACTAAATACCAACACAGTAAACAAGACTTAAGTATTAAAGATGTTGTAAAATTATATATTGACTAAGAATATATTTTTTTAATTTATCTTTTGTATAAAATACATTTTATCTTTACTATAMATATTATTCAAATAATACAAATTGACAGTCAACAAAACATKGTAGTATAGTACCCATAGTTCAATAATTACAAGGTATGCTTATAAATATTTTATTTTTATTTTTAATCTTCAGATTAATAATTTATATATTATGAAAACTATATTTTCTATAGAAGCAGTCTTTAAAAATATCAGTGTAGGAAAATAATCCTTTGTCATTTATATTGTTATATATTCATTTAACGGATATAAAAACTTATATTAATCATATTGATTAGATGATGTGAACAAAACCATTAAATTTAAATAAATACACACACACAAAAAAAAAATTAAAATCCACATTCTTAAATAACTTAAGCAAATATGATTTCTGGAAAATCCATAATTGGCGATGAAGGAAAGGAGTATTCAAATTCCGGTTCTCCTGAAAAATAAAAATAAATATATATACAATACTATTAATAAATAAATATATATACAATATTATTAATAACTAATCAATAAGGGGCGCAGAGTCTAGTGTTTTACTCATAGGCATGTCCACGAGTTTGCCTGTCATGCACAGGCATGACCTATGAAATTTGATCTAAATTTTTAAATTCAGGGGCCATATTCCCTGCAGTTGCTCTCACTTTTGTGCATGACCTGCGAATGAGGTTTGGACACGCCTATGGTTTCATTATACATTTAACAGAAAAAAAAATTAATTTTGGTAAACCTAAGTCTTTAAATCTATTTAAGGGGGTTGGAGCATAGCCAGTTTTAAAGTGTAATATTTAGGCTATACAAACATTAGAACTGTGTCATTTTGTCAGCGATAAATGAACATAAAAGTGTATACATATTCCTTATCGATCAGCAAAGTAATGAATTAATGACCATAATAGATTGTCAACAATACCAATTACTCTCACACAAACAAGTGGGGGCATTCGCGCATTTTAATACAAAAATCAAAAATAGGATGATGAATGCATAGGTATACAAAATAATCATAGATCTGGAAGTAAAAAAACTATTAATTTTCTGCTATAAGGTCCCCACACACTGCAGCAGTAGCGCTAAAATTCTTTTGTCTTGGCGGTGCCGGTAAATTGTGACCGGCTTAATTTTGCTGTTACCAAGTCCAGCGGTAATCGCCACCATTGCAGTGTGTGGAGACCTTTATAGTATAAAACCATAAAAAATATGGTGTGTTCCAACTGCATTAATTATTAACTGCTCCCCGAAACAAAAAAAAATTAACACAATACTAATATAATAATTTAAACAATACAAAAATTTATAATCTTTACCAAAATTATCAAATTGATCTTTAATTTTATGAATCATTATTTTATGGTAGTCTTCAAGAAACCAATCATTTGTGTCATTATTATTGCCACCAAAAAAGTTACTTAGCATTCCAATGTTACAAGTCATACTTGGAGGCAAGACATCTGTAAAATATAAAAGAATAAGTAATAAAAATTAAATTAATATTTTTTATTTTTAAGCAAAATAAAGGATGTTTATTGTTTAAGTTTATGTATGTATCTAATATTTTTAAATTAACATTGTATTATCCTATGAGAAACCTACAATATGTGCTTCAAAAATCACAAGTAGTAACTCTCAAAATTATTTTCAATTACTACTTTAAAATGTATAACATTATAATACAGAACTTGTTAAATATTATACAGGGTGATTCTTTTAAGTGGGTACACTAATTATCTCAAAAAGTATTTACTTTTTTCAAGATATTTTTTTGCATGGTTTCGAGTTGTTAAAAAACAACTTTTTTATTAAAAAATTATATTTTTAAATATTTTTTATCCTTATCATATTTTAAGTTTTTTACTTTTTTGAATGACAATATAGAGTTTTAATTTCATATTCCAAAGCAGAATATTTTTCTAAGTATTTTGATTCATAAAAATCAACTTTAGGGCTAGTAGTTTTAAAGTTATAAGTATTTAAAGTTTAGATTGGCAGAGTGGAGTGGTACGGGGTTACCCCGCAAAATGTTTGTCCACTACTCCGCTTGTCTAAACTTTAATACATATAACTCATAAACTACTCGTCCTAAATTTGATTTTTATGAATCAAAATACTTAGAAAAATATTCTGCTTTGGAATATGAAATTAAAACTCAATGTAGTCATTCAAAAACGTAAAAAAAGATAAGGATAAAAAATATTTAAAAATATAATTTTTTAATAAAAATGTTGTTTTTTAACAACTTGAAACCATGCAAAAAAATATCTTGAAAAAAGTAAATACTTTTTGAGATAATTAGTGTACCCACTTAAAAGAATCACTCTGTATACTATTGTTTTTGTGTTAGATCTAATCTTGTATTTGGAACAAGTCTATACTCCATTGAAATTAAGAAGGAACCTCGAAGGTAATTTGTGCGCTGGGGAGTGGCCAACCACACAGATGGTTAACTTGGCGGGAATGACAAAAAGTGTCGTCAGTGTCACCCCTCCCCCCTCTAACAAAAACTGATCACTGACAAGGTTTCTTCTTAACTGGAATGAAAGTCAGTTATTCTTCATTTAAAAGTAAATAGTTGGCATACATTTTTTTTTTTAAAGTTCATAAATTAATTAATATGCCCAGGGGCATATCAACATGGTTTTTATCGGAGAGCCAAAATTGGTAGTTAAGCTAACCCTAAAAATTGATCTGGGACAACTTGATTTTGTTACATTGATGAAGTCATTTCATCATTAAATGTATTTTACAAGTCTCTGCAATCAGCTTTACAGTAGGTTAAATGGATCATTTTAATTAAGAGATTGAAATCAACAGGTCAATCTTAACAGAAATATTGGACGATCATATTAAATTACCAATATTCACCTATACCTATAACATGCAGAATAATAAAAACTGAAACATACTTATGTGCTCTTTTAGGCACAGAAAATTGTGACAATTGCTTATATTGTTTTTGTCCAAAGTAAATATTATAAAATATCATAATATTAATAGATAGGATTTAGATTTGAAAGCAATGGTTTTTTTTTAGTAAGGATAAATTTTAAATACAAATATGCAATCAGGTAGGTAGGTACATATTATTTTTGTCGTTTTACATTTTATTTTTACTTAGTCATCAATTTATCTGAATTTATTGCAATAATTTTGCACACATTTACAAGTACAAAATACAAACCAATAGTTTTTGAAAAGATACTGGCAATTTGGAAAATAAAATAACCAGAAAAAATATTTAGGTATGCCGTATGCACAATATACGCATGATGCATCAATAACTGCAAAACCTTGAAAAGCAATTTTTAGAATACAGTAAAACCTCCTTATTATAAAATTAATAACTAAGTTCTTTTGAAACAAACATATCACTACAATGGTTAATAACAGGTCCAGTCCTACATCCCAAATATTTTAGTTTCCTTATAACAGAATCTCCTTTAAACTGAAAAAATCGAATAGTACAGTCATTCAGTTTTAAGTGTTTACTGTGCAAGTATATCAAATCCGAACCATTTAAGTTTTGCCAAAAGCAGTTCGTCAAAATATAAGCACATATTTAAACAACCTATATGGTTTTAATTTTTTTTTCAACACAAAATAATGATAAATTAATTACTACCTACAGTGACTTGGAGTTTTTCTTAGAAATTTCATACATTTTAATTGTTTTTTTTAAATCTTGAATTCTACTAGGTAACTTAGAGACACTAATTAATGGAAAAACCCATAATTTATACTTTACCAACCCAACCTTATTTAACTTACCATACCCGACTAAAAAAGTATTAAATTAATAATTACCATTTTCCTGTGTTGTGCAACCAAAATGATTAAATTCTTCATTTTGATCGTAGGTGAAGTCTTGTAATGGTGATTTACATTTGATTTCTGTCTCAAAAGTTTTCATAGGCAATACCTTTAATTGTTTAAGACTTTTGCCATCAGATTTTTTGGTTGACTGTACAGTGTTAGTCAACACTTTCAAAGCTGTTTTTTTGCGATTTGTAACTAGATTATTCTCTAAAAAGAAATTATTAATAAAATATATTAACAAAGTAAAATATTTAATTCGTTTTTAGTCATAATTCATTAATGTAATGTATACACTTACTTATATTTTTTATAGGGTTCTCATTGTTTACGGAAGCCAATTTACGAACACGAAAAGTATTTGTAGACATGTTGTAAGTTTTTGCTTGCTTTATAACGGCAGGTAGTTAAATAAAATATTAATAATTTATTGTGTGGCAAATGGCAACGTGTTATAAGTATTTAAATAGTCGAAACTTTGAAGTGTTCAAAGAAAACGAAGGACGGAAAGACTGAATAGTGAATAGTGATTAGTGAATAAAGATGAACAATGGAGTACGGGTGTATGGTGTATTAAATATGGAATGTGAAACTATTGAAACTTACAAGCAATACGAGCACCGAAGCGACAAAAATACATTAATCGTGGGTTTTAACTTTAATTAGTTTTATTCAACAAAATAACCTGTAGGCTACTAAAATAGAATACAATTGACAGAAAATCCAATAGTTAGTATCTCAATATTATATTATTTTAACGGACAAAATATCAAAAATGATAATCTATTATTCATTTAACTGATAGCTGTAATAATTTGTTGAGACGTCATGCGAATACGGTATTGATACTGTTAAATGTTTAAAAAATGTTTGAGGTTTAAATTTTAAACATAGATGGCGGTATCTACTTTAATATTTACTTAAATTTTATCACATTTTATTACTTGCTTACAGGCTTACTGCTGTAATGTTTTGTACAGCAGCTGCTATTTCAAGCTAAGTTTTTTTTAATTTTTAATTTAATATTGATCATAGAATACAGATATTGATAACAGAATGTATATTTTAAATTTTTTAWTATCATAATTATTGTAAATTGTAATATTGTCATAAATCCTTCTAAACAGTAAACACTAGATTAGTAGATTCTATTGATTCTAGATATAGACAGAAGTTTTTAATTTCTGAAGTTAAAATTGTTATGTTAGTTGTCGTCTAAGAAAAAAAAATACAATATAATTTAGGTACAATGTATTGATTTTGTATGTTTCAAAAATCATTTAAAACTTAAAAAGTTAGAATCTAAAACCTAAATCATTAGTGTTCAACTGAGTTGTACAATTTAAATCTATATTTTAGTATGTCAACAATTTTTGATTACTGAATTAAACAATGGACAATTTAAAAATGAAATATGAGGTAGGTACCTTACTTGTTTCCATACTTATTTGAACCATTGGCGTAATTCCATCAAATTTCAGCAGGTGAAAAGTTTTATCGGTCCAATAATCGTAATGAATAATTAAGTTTTATTACTCATATTTAAAGCGAATTGCATTGCTCGCATGCACTATAAGTATCTTTTTATATTTGATAACAATATAGCATAAACAAGTATCAAAATCTGTAGGTACCTATATTGTAAATACTATATATGCTGTATCTGCACTATGATACATTATACATATAAAAATATAATATTTATATGAAATTAATTAAAGTGAACAGAATTTTTAAATAAGTTAAAAAAATTAAACAAATTTATGAATTACATGAAATATAGTTGATATTGTATTTTAATAGGTATAAATTTCAGCATCTGTAGGTGCAAAATCATATATTTGCACCTGCTACATAATACCAGGGGGTGAAAGTGCACCCCCATAATTACGCCACTGTTGTTCAATATAATATACTATGGACATTTTGTGTTAATATAGATTTATTTAATTATTTCCTATTTATTTACATAAATCATATCTACTACAATAAATTGTTTAGAATCCTGTTATTAAATCAGAATTCAATCTTACTTACCTTGTAGACAAATTTATTGTTTTTAAATAAATACTATTTTGTTGCTCGTTAATCTTTGTAATTAGTAATACATTTTAATAATAAATTATATTATAATATTATAAAGGTACCTGGTGGTATTGCCTCAATAATGCCAAGCATTCCAGCAGATTTATTGAGTTATATTAATTGTATAGAAAGTATGCCAGTTTATAAAGGTGAATCAATTCTACTAAAAAGAGATGTAAATTTATTATCCTTATATGCTGATAATAATATAAATTATATGCCAACTAATTTAATAGTAAGTATATACTATATAGGCTATGTTAAATAATTATTTTCTATTTTACAAACATAAAAAATATATTATCTACAGCCTGAAAGGGATCCCAAGACTGGTAAAATTATTTCTTATGAAGAAGTTATTAATGATCCAATTTTTCAATCTGATGGTAATTTAATACCTTGTTTAAAATCAATAAGCAATCAATGTACTGTCAATCAACATGAAGATAATCTGTTCCAATTTCAATTTGATCCTAGTATGTATCTTTATTTTAATTTTTCAAGAAATATAATTTACATATTTTATATTGTTTTCTTAGATGATTTACCAGTAGCACCAGGATTGTCAAACAAATTGAAAATAACCCAAAATGATCAAAATACATCCATAAACATTTGTTCTATCGACACAACAGTAGAAAATGAATGGACTGAAGATGTAGGAGGATTTTGGGATGATGAAGTACCAGAAATAGTTAGCCAACCAGATACTATACCAGAACCAATTCCAGAAGATGAAATTAATCATATTAGGGTAATTATTTGTATTCTGAAGAAATTTGAATCAAACAATGTTTAATCTTGATTTTTTTTAATAGAAAGATGAAAACTTTGTGCTTAAAATTTCTGGAAATGCAGAAAGGGTTCTAGTGAAATCTAAGTGGGTTGAAGAATTAGATATTTCAAAACCAATTGATAACTTTGATGAGTTATTACCTGATCCTGCTTATAAATGGGAATTTGAATTAGATACATTTCAAAAACAAGTATTACACTAATAATTTAATTTGAAAAACATTTTTTATGAATTCAATATACTATTATAAATTACATTTTATTTTATAGGCAGTACTTAAATTGGAAGAAAAAAATAGTGTTTTTGTTGCAGCTCATACATCAGCAGGTAAAACTGTTATTGCAGAATATGCTATCGCACTTGCTAAAAAACATCAATTGAGGTAAATATTTCATTATGTATACTATCCTCATTTTATTTATTCTTTTAAAATAGCATTAATATTTCATTGATATTTACATCCTCTTAGAAATATACAAATCATACATTTTTAAATAATAATTTAGATGCATATATACATCTCCAATAAAAGCATTATCCAATCAAAAATTTCGAGATTTCAAAAAAAAGTTTGGAGATGTTGGTCTTATTACAGGAGATTTTCAAGTGAAACCAGAAGCTCAATGTCTCATTGTTACAACAGAAATACTATGTTCAATGCTATATAGTAATTCAGATAAAATTAAAGAAACTGAGTTTGTTATTCTTGATGAAGTTCATTATGTAAACGATAGAGATGTAAGTAATCTAGTAAAATATACTTTTTTATTTAATAATTAAGCCGTTTAGTGAATAATATGWATTTTATTTAATAGAGAGGGCACATTTGGGAACAAATTTTAATTATGCTACCTAAACGTGTGAAATTAGTTATGCTGAGTGCTACTGTCACTAATGTTATTGATTTTGCCAACTGGATCGGTCGTACTCGTGATTCTAAGATTTACGTTGTATTTACTCTTTATCGACCAGTTCCTCTTGAACATTATCTTTATATTGGTTCAAATACATCTATGGAAATGAAGGACAATATGCATCTTATTAGAAAAGCAGACAGCGGGTTTCTAATTCAAGGGTATGTATATTATACATCATTTGTGTATATAATTAATATAAMAACTAAATTGGTTAATTAAATACATTTATAGTTATCGTAAAGCTTCAGAGCTATTTAAAAAAAGTAAAGAAGTAAAAAAATATCAAGAATCTAAAAATTTAAAAGATCAAAAACCAAAATGGGTCAATTTTTTGAGATTTCTGGACAAAAATAATTTGTTCCCAGCTGTTGTTTTCATTTTGTCCAGAAAAAAATGTGATATGATGGCAGAATCTTTAAAAAACTCTGTAAATTTCTTATTAAATAATAAAGAATCTCAAGCAAATGAGTATTTTTTTAATGATGCTATAAAAAAATTAAAACCAGAAGATAGAGCTTTACCTCAAGTAAATATCAATGTTTTTTTGTTGAAACTTTTTTTTTATAGCTTAGATAATAAATTTAATATTAAAAAAACTTATAATTTTTAGGTTGTTTTAATGAAAGAATTATTATGTCAAGGCATTGCAGTTCACCATAGTGGAATTTTACCCATACTAAAAGAAATAGTAGAAATGCAATTTCAAAAAAGTTTAGTCAAGGTAATTGATAAATAAATAAAAAAAGAATTTGTTTTATTTTATTAACATGTTGAATAACTTTACAGTGTCTATTCGCCACTGAAACATTTGCAATAGGTATTAATATGCCAGCCAGAACAGTGGTATTCGAAGCCATTAACAAATTTGATGGTATAGAAAAAAGAAATTTAGCCCCGGCTGAGTACACTCAAATGGCAGGACGAGCAGGTCGCCGGGGCCATGATGACAGTGGTACTGTTATAATAATGGCAAATGATCAATTACCTAATGATAGAGAATTAATAAATATGATGCTAGGTTAGATTTTAATCAAAAAAATAGGTATGTGAAAATATGTCTCACCAATTTTAAAAATATTTACTTTTTGTAGGTAAATCAGCTAAATTAGAATCTCAGTTTAAAGTCAGTTATTCTATTATATTGAATATGTTCAAAAAGAAAAATTCTGAAACTCTAGAAGAAATATTAGGTAGTAGTTTCATTGAAGCTGCTAGAGCTAAAAAAAAAGATGAATATACTGAAGAATTAAATTCTTTAAAAGAAATACATGGGAATGATGATTGGGAACCAACAGGAAAGCAAGATATAATTGTAAAAGAATTTTATCTTCGTGCCAAAGAGTATTTAGACTGCAGAAATGAAGACTGGGTAATTAGAATATAAATATAATTTAAAAAAACGTTAACCCTTATAAAGTTTATTTATCCACTTAGAAATATGTATGTTCAAATATATACATTTTTAACACATTGATTGCCATGCGGCCGGCGGCATCCGTATAAAAATAATTAGGTATTGATAATTTTTAGACCGACGACTGCTACACCATATCATTCGTAGGAGGCCATATAGCCACGAGCTGCTGTAAATTAATTTGGATTTATAKTATTAACTTTTCTGTGGCACTACAATTATGATCTTGAAAATATGTTGTAGCGTAATGGGGATAAATGCAATTTTTTTTTTATATTTTTAATTTTTTTTTAAATTCAATGGTATTTAGACACTGAAAAATGTCCATGGTGTATCCATGATAAATATTCTTGAGACCGCTGGCAGCCGCATTGCGGTTAACGTGTGAATGAAATAATAATATTTTTTTTGTAAAACATCTATTAATTGAATTTTAATACAATTTTTAATATTTAACATAAAATATAATTTTGTATATAATGTTAAATATTTTATTATTGAAATAATCCCATAAAAATTATAACTTTAGGATAAACTTTATGCAGCGAGTGATAAAAGTTTTAGTGA